TTGATGGCTGTGATCTCGGCCTGAACTTCGCGAAGCTTGGATGCGGCGGTCTCCTTCTCGGACACGAGAACCTTCTTTTGCTCCTCAAAGGTACGGCGCTCCGTCTCAAATTTCTTGTTGTCTCCCCGAAGAACGGACAACTCGCTCTCCTTCTTGCGGACAAGGTCCTCGTAGTCGGTCGAAGTCTTGGATAGTTCGGAAAGTTGCTGTTGAACCTGACGGTTTTCGAGGGCCAGTTGGGATTCTCTCGATTTTGACGACTGCAAATCTTTCTGAGCTGTCCGCAATTTGACCTCGAGGTCCTGGTCGATCTGGAGGAGCTTGCTTTCCAAGTCCCGTGCTTTGCGATCCTTAAGATTGAGCTGGCTCTGCAACATCTTGATTTCGTCCTCGAGCAGTCTCTCCTGTTCACTGCGCTCCGATTGCTTCTGTGAAATCTCCTCGATAGAGCGCTCCAGCTCTTCGGTGCGTTCCGAAAGTTCTGACTTCTCCTGCTCCAGCCGTGCGATAAGTAGTGCTGCTTGCTCCAGTTGGGCCCGGTACTTCTCAACGTCGTGCTCAGCCCTCTTCTTGGCTTCCAGCAAGTCGTCAAGTTGGTCCTCCAGCCTCTCTTGGTCTTCTATGGCGCCAGAGAGCTTCTCTTCGAGTTCCGCTTCCCTCACTTGTAGACGCTTGAAGATCTCTTCCTTGTCTAAAGCGAGGGCACGTTCACTCTCCAAGGTCTGTTGAATTCGGACCATCTCGTTGTGTACGTTTCGGCGATCTTCTTCCAGCTTGTGGCGATCATCAGATTCTTGCTTCATCTTGTCCTGAAGCTGGCGGATCATTGCATCCCTCTTCTTGACCTCTGTTGCGCTACGAGTAGCGCCCAGGAGTGGCTTCATCTTGCTGACAAGCTGCCACCACGGATTCTCCATTAGGTCGAGATAAGTGTTGAAGTTTCTCTGGATGATGCGGGTGGCCTCGGTCCGGAACAGTCTCTTGTAAGCGACTCGTCGCTGGATGTAGCCACGTGCAACTGACTGGAATCGAGACATGATTTCGGTGATAAGGGCATCACGCTGCTCTTCCAGTTCGGCTAGTACACCAGCTCTGAAGAAAACCTTCGTAAGGCCCACGCGGTACAAGCTCCTATCTAGACCAAGCTTCTCGAGCATCATTGCCGCTACGGCTTGACCCTCTTGATAGCCTTTGGGCATGTTTCTGCAAAGCACCTCATAGCGTTGACGGAACTCAGCAAAAGGAAGGCGATTAGGAAAGCCCGTCCGGGCAATGCGGATACCCTCGAGAACACCATTGCACCGCAACTGATCAAGTACGAGCAATTTGTTAAACTGCTTGGGCTTCTTCTTGTGGTTGGGCAGGATGCAGCGGACGAAGTGAGGATGGGTGGAATGAAGCTGTGCCATCAGACTGTGGAGCTGCTCCTTGTGGCGCTGTGCGACAGTTCGGAACAATCCCTTCTTGACCCGGTTGCGGCTGGCACCTAGATCGTCGTCGACGTCGGCGCAGTCGGCGAAGAGATCGGCAATGTGCTTGTCAGTAGAGGAAGCAAGGAGACGAGTGATGTTATCATTCAGCGGATCCTTGTTCTTCTCCAGCCAGCTCTCGGTGGAATACTCGACCTCCGCCGCATAATGCGTGAGAATGAAGCCTTGGCCAAGTCGAGATGGGCGGTATTTATTCGATTTCTTGTCCCACAAGGAGTTGAGCTTTTCGGTGAATGACTTGTCTGTGGCCTTGGGCATGACACAGTCTTCGTCCAAGCAAGAGAAGATACCAATGGGGTTGGGTAATTCGATGAGGTCAATCGTGGGCTGAAGGTCGCGTCCAAAGTCAATGAACTGCCATTCAATCTGTTCCCTCGCGTATTCTTCTTGCTCGAGCACAAACATGTGATGGTTGAAGAACTGCTGGAGCTTCTCGTTGGTGTAGTTGATGCAAAGCTGCTCAAAGCTGTTCTCTTCGAAGATTTCGAAACCAGCAATATCCAGGACACCAATGAAGCGCGAGTCGTCGATGCCCATGCCTGTACGATCCAGTTGACGATTGATGCGAGTTACGAGATTGCCGAAACCTCTCTCGTAGATACCCTTGGATAACGCGTCCAGTCCCAGTCGGACCTGCTCGGGAGTCTGAACCTTTTCAACCCATTCGCGGCCAGCCTTGACTCTGGGGTGAAGCAAGCCCTGCAGGAATGGCTCGAGTGGAACACCGAGGAGCTTGCAAACCTTTGCTGCCTGTTCCTTGGCATCAGGTGCCAGCCGAGCTTGATCTGCGGCACGACTTTCCTTGACGACAGAGATGTTTCCCAGATGTAGTACCGCAGCGATTGTGCGAATGATTGAGTTTTGGTCCTTGTCTGAGAAGCCCATGACGTTAAAGGCCTCCATCAACGAGTCCCACTCCTCGCGGTCGGAGACGCCGACGATTGTGTCGTGGCCAGCGCGCGTGTAAGCAAAGTCTTCGACATCCAAGCCGTCAAGGAGGAATTCCTGCTTCAGCTTCCTGTCTGCGCCCTTGAGAAGCTGGTAGAAGATGTGGTAGTTTCTCTCATGCCCGTTGATCCTCACCACCCTAGACTTCTCCAAGAGGTACCAGTCGATGAAGGCGCCAGAAATGGCACCTGCCTTGTTGAACTCGATCCGGATGAATTTGCCGAATCGTGAAGAGTTATTGTTCCGCACCGTCTGAGCATTACCAAAGGCCTCAAGAATAGGGTTGGCTCGGAGGATCTGTTGCGACAGGTTGGACTGCTGAGACTTGTTCTTTACGGGGGACTCGGAGTGCGCGACGGCTGCAAGGTACTGGATCACCTTCTTGGTGTTCTCGGTTTTACCAGCACCGGACTCGCCGGTAACAAGAATACTCTGATTCTCGCCTTCGTCCACCAGATTGCGGAAAGCATGGTCGGCCATGGCATAGATGTGTGGTTTGGTGTCTTCCCTACTCCTCCCCTTGTACATATTGATATATTCGTTTGTGTAGATGGGTAGTGGGCAGTAGGGGTTGACTGTGACCAAGAAGAGGCCGGAATAGGTGTAGATGAGATCGGCTTGGTATCTCATGTGGAGGTTATGGACGACGGACGCCTCGTTCAGATGGGTCAATTCAGCCATATCGTTTGCCTTGTCGAACTTGGCGGGATTGACCTTGTCGACGCTTTCGGCATCGACTTCTCGTTGCTGAAGCTTGCATGTCAGCTACCTATGTCATGACGGCACACAACGGTCAGATCAGAGCAGCACTCACTGTACCATCGTCACATTGAACGAGTATCTTGTTGCCTCCTGTCTCCTCAACCACCCAACCCCTCACGAAAGCAGCTTGCGGGTCCTTAAGCCACACATAACGCTTTCCTGAGAAGTCGTTCTCGCCCTCGATACCTTTGACTGTGTCAGAACCACGGCGCATCTCCTCCGTCTTGATGAAGGAGGGCGCAAAGGTCCCGGAACCAGAGCCACTGTTTCTCGAGTCGGAGCGATTGTGGCGGAAGTGGCCGGTGCCTGAGAACATTATAGGGGCCGCAGGTGCCGCAGACGTCGGAGGTGCTGCTGCGGGTGCTGCTGCGGATGCTGCTGAGGCAGTGGAATGGTTTCTGACGTGTGATACGGGCGTAGTAACGGCTGACAGCGGAGACGGTGATGTGAAGACTGCGGATTTCGGCCGGCCGCTGCTAGGACCAGGCGAGGTCCTAGCGAAAGGATTATTCCGTGGTTGCGCCATGATTTGAGGAATGTGAGAAGAAGTAGGGTATCGTCAGAAGAGCGCAGCCCTCAGGGCGACGTGTCGTATTGGGTTCGTGTCTTTCGTCGCAAAACGTCGCTCATAGAGTACACATTAAGATGGGGGCAAAGCTGACGAAGGGCAACGAAAACGACGAAACTCTGAAAGAAAACAATATGAAAGACGTCGCGGGATTGCAGCCTCTTGGGCGAAATTGCCAGTGACGAAAAGACGAGATCAAGGCAATGTCGGGGAGGCTGGGAAAGTGGAGGATTTACAATCGACGTAAGGATGGATATTGTATTGTTGACTCTGGACTAACAAAGAACAGGGATTCAGGAGTACGGTTGCTCAGGGTACGCCTGAGCAAAGTAAACAATGGAGGGGGCCAATTGGGGGCCCCCCCACGTGACAGACGCCAGCGACAAAGGTGACGCGAGACCGTCTCAAGTCACATTAGCCCGATACGGACTAGAGGTAAATGGAGTGTCTCCCCACTGTTGGCCACGGCCATCCTTGCTGCCTCACGGCCTTGAATTTCCATTTGACTCGGGCCTTCCAGGTACCGGTAGGTTGTTTGGACCTGTCTGCCCACGTTGAGGTGCCCTTCCGTGCCTGCCACTTTTGCCCCAGTAATCCCGCCCGAAAAGACTCGAAAGTCGAGAACTGCCCGAGAGCCGTCCACCCGCCCCAACCTCCGTCCGTCGCAGTCGCAGTCGCAGTCGCACTTTGCGGCTACTTGAACTTTCAAAGACATCAACGTTCCACAACTCGCCCATAGTCGCATCTTTTTGTGACGCGACGGCTCAATACAGACAGAGCATTACACGTATTATTATTATTTTGCGTCGCTTTCATACGGGACAATTGTCTCTCCCCAGAAATTCATCCCAATTCGGAGATTCGGATAGCCGCTACTACGCGCCCACCGCCCACTGCCCACTGAGGTGCTGACCGCTGTACGGAGTAAGTGCATGACGATTATTTTTCCGACGAGAGCTTTTTTTTCGCGCCGTGAAATTCTCCCTCCTGTTGGCGCGAGGCAGAGCAAGTCAATTCCAACATCACACTTGCCAAACCCTGACCTCCCACCAACACCACCCTAGTCTCCCTCTCTCCACCGCGAATGCGAATTGCCATGCTCCTTTCGCCCTTGCCCACCGACTCGACTGACCCAGATTTTTCCAGCTTGCACCTTTCACATTCTAGCGCACCAAGCTAGAGACAACCTTCCTCCACGTTTGTTGAAGGACTGGCAATCAGAAGCACCATCGCGACCTCATACGTGCTCGCCACCTTTCCCTGCCATTTTGATTTTGGGCCGAACTCTTTCTTTGAACGTTCGAGTACATCTTTGTCACAGTTCACAAGGTAGGAGGTCAGCAATCACAGTCGCAGGTACTCGCCATGAACAATTACTACCCTTTCGGGTACCCGCCGTACCCAGGCCAGCCGCCTGCTCAACAGCAGCCGCAGCAGCAGCCCTACTCCTACCCGATTGCGCCGCCCTTCGCTCAATATCCTCAGCACACCGAAAACACCTATGATGGTGTCATGCATTCACAGCCCTCATACGAGCAGAATCAAAACATGATTCCTGGCCTTGGTGGCTACGGTCATCTCCCTCAGCTTCCCCAGCTTCCTCAGAGCTTTGGTTGGCAGCAACCCCAGCAGTCGCTGGAGCAGCAGCCAGCTCTCCAGCATCACTGGCAGCCCCCGAGAGAGGGTCCCAACCTCATTCCAGCATCGCAGTACTATCACGCCGACCAGGCCCCGAAGCCCAAGGCCCCCGTCGCCTCCGGCGCTCTCCCTCCCACCGCGCCGAAGCGATTCGCGAAGCAAATGTCCAACGATGCTGAGGAAGGCGAGCTTTCTGACGGCGAACTCGACGACGTGTACGAGCCTCAGGAGACCCTTCCAGAGGCGAGCTCACGCCAGCAACGCCAGAGCCTGCCGAATGCCGCAATTGTGAACGCGCGCAATGGCAAGAGCAGTGCCGAATATCCCAATGCAAGCTCCTACGGTGGCCCGAGAGATGGCGGGATGAAACGCCCTGCAGTGGCCGGTGGTGATGGTGCGTATTCCTATTCTTAAGATGAAGATTTCTTGTCGATACAGAGCTAAAACTTGGCAGATCGAGAGCATTCCGGATCATACTCCCCCCATCTGTCTCCTCACGAAGTTCACCCGCGCACGGCATCCAATAATCAACACGGCGCTTCCTCCTCACAGACGCATGTCTCTAGCGGACAATTCAATCAGCCTCTCGCGACGATAGTCGGTCAGCAGCAAGGCAAGAATGCAGTCGAGGAAGCTCGGCAGAGGGCTCGGTCCGCTATTGGCAACCTCTGGCCCCTGGGTATTCGCCGTCAGGACTTCGTCGATGAGGGCATCGACAAAACCATCGTCGACAACCTCTTGACTGACTTGAAGCTGGATACCAACGCACCCAGTCAATTCTCTATTCCAGGCGTTTCCACTGCTACGTCCCTGCCCGGGCTCTCTTATGCCTCTAGTCAGTCTGCCTCTCAACAGGCCAGAACGGCAGGTGCAGCCCTGCCCCCGAAGCCCCCGGCGCAGCAACAGTCATCGCCTTCAGCAGTGAAGTCGGCTGGAGAAGAGAGAAAGGATCGGATTGCTCGCCTGTTGGCTGCAAAGGGTGCAAAGGCAGCGGCATCTTCATCCACCACCACTGGTGCACAAGCTGGTGTGCCGAACGATAAGGAACTCGTCCAGCAACAAAAGAAGGATGCTCTGCAGAAATCCCGTGAAGCCCGTGCTCAGAAGGCAGCGGAGCGCAAAGGCTCTTTGCAATCCTCCCAGTCAAAGGAGGCTTCCCCAGTTGAACCTCCTCGCAGACCTCAATCAGCAATTGCCAACGTGCCGGTCGTGGCGCCTGCTGCAAACCAACTCGCTCGACCCAATGCCATGCAACAATCAGCTGATCGTCAGACTGCTCCAGCTTCGGCCATTCCTGGTCTTTTCACATCTGCTCCACAGCCTGCACCTTTCATCAACCAGCGCAAAAGACCTGTCGCGTCCGACTTCGTGGCCAATGCCTATGCCAATAAACGCCCATTCGGTCATACTCAGCAAGACACTCGGTTTGTCATTGATGTTAGTGAAGGGTCTGATGACGAGGATGTTGAGATGGAGATTGGATCTCCCACAGACGAGCCGTCAAGCACTCAGCAAGACACGCCCTCTCTTAGACCGGCGTCTTTCCGCGACTTTCCGCCCTTGTCCAACGGTCTTCCTCAACGCCAGCTCTCGAGCCCTGCTCCAAGCAACATCACTACTCCTCAGTCCGGTGCTGTAGGTCAGCCAAAGCAAGCTCATATAGACGTCATGGATAAACAGATTGAGGCCATGAAGCGCAAGATTGCGTTGGCTGAGGCTCGCGCCAAGCTCAAGGCTGCCATGGGTGATAAGTCACTTGCCCAGAAGTCGGCTGTCCAGACACCGGACACTGCTCTTGATTCGGATGGCGGCAAGCCAAGCATGCGCAGAGTCCAGTCAATGGGTGAATCCCATGCATCTGACCCGCCCAACGGCCAGCAGTCGCCCGCGATCGCTGAGCCCAGCAGTTCACTGCGCTTGCCCAAACCATCGGACAACCGCATTCAGGGTGAATCTAGTCGTTCTCAGAAGCTTCGGACTGCTAGCACCAATCTTCCACTTCTCGAGAACAGACTCCAGACGAAGAAGAGCAAGCTCCGCCTTCTGCAGATTCAAATGTCTCGTCTAGAGCAAGAAATTCAAGAAGAGGAGACTGAGAAGCAGAAGTTGACGCAGGAGATGGAACAGCTCGAACAGGACTCGGATGAGTCGTCTGAGCCTCAGAATCAGTTGAAAAGCAATTCTGGTAAGTCCTCATGCTGAAAACGTTTGATAGAGACTCAATATTAACTGAACAAAGTCGATCCCGTTGTTACTGCAACATCCACGGCCCAGACCGAGATGCAGACTCCTTTGTCTGCTGCCGCAGACGCTGAGCAGAGTCCCAGCAAAGTGGCTGGACAATCAGATGCTGCAAGCGTGCGTTCCAGCAAGTCTCCTGCAATGAGTCACGACAAGAACATTTCCCACGCGGCCGATGATGCCGAAAATGCGGTCACTGGTAAAGCCGCAGCGAGCCCTTTGCAAGCCCCACCTTCCACAGAGACCCCCATGCCTGCGCTTCATGAGACTCACAGCAACCCTGAGACTGTGGGTGATGATGATGAGTCGCAGCCAATCACTAGTGATGATGCCTCCGATGTTGCCATGGCCGAGTCCGATGACTCCAGCTCCTCCAAGCAAGAGCATGAAGACGTATACGAGCTCGCTGAAAATGTTGTTCCGGCAGCTGTCGCGAAGTCTCCGTCCCTCAGCCCAGTTGCAGCAGATAGCGCTGTTTCGCTTGTCAACAGTGATACTGACTCACAGCAAACGAGTGCCAGAGCCTCACAGATTCCCGAGCAGATCTCGCTGGGAGTCAACGAGTCGACCCCTGAGCAGGGTGTCAACGCCGTGAGAGAAGTACATTTTGTTTTGCGCCGAGGAAGCGCTCCGGTTACTGACTTATTTCCTAGGCCCCGCTTGCTACACAGAGCACTGACGAGGCATCATCGTCTGGAGAACGCTTCACCCCTTACGAGAGTCCGCTCCAGTATTTCCGTGCTTACCGATACCATCCCAAGTTTGCTGAAACCGTCCCTGGCGGGCTTCGGTCCCTCACCTACAGCAACAGGATTGATCCGAACCTGCCCATCTGTCCAGACCAGCTAGCCAGCCGGGACTGCCCTCGGGGTGCTGACTGCATTTACCAGCATTTCGAGTCCATGAAGCTGCCGGGTAGGTCGCCTTCGCCCCGCAAGGACTAATGACCACGTTGCGTGTCCTCGAGGCATGTCGAGCGCTGACGGTCGCTCCCCCGCGCTTTAGACGACCAGATTCTCCTCCAGTTGGGTGGCACGACCCTGGAAGGACCCGAGAAGACGCAGTTCAACGATGGATTGCGCAAATTGTTGCAAGAGATGAGATCCCAGAACATCAAGGACTTCCCCAGCATTGCAAAAGGCATAGTCGACTACCACAACCGCTTCAATGGCGACCCGTCAAAGATCCTGCCTCTTGGCAATGTTTCGATCTGAGTGGCGGAAGAGATACGAGCTTGATTAAGCTTCGTTTGTATCACCCAATGTCCACATCGATTGGACTGTTTGAGTATTGGCTCATCCCCTTCCCTTTCCCTTTGGCATCACAGAATTTTGTTTCTTTCCCTTCGTCTTTACATACATACCCATCGCATACCTCTTAGCAGAGGCCCTTTTGGCCGGCTGATAAGAGTCTTGGGCGGCGTTTGCGAGATACCCCCTCCTTGCGTTACTTTCAGAAGTGATTCGACCTGAGGCAATCAGGAATGAGGCACAGGTACAATGGAAAACGGCAAGTAGGCAAGAAAAAATAGTGTTGGAAAAGAGTGGTTGAAATCACTCCCATGTTTTGAGTTGAGATCACTGAGGGATAGCAAAGCCTTTGAGTTGCTTGCCATCACCTCGAAAGAGCTGTTTAGGTGGCCCGAATTGGGTCGTACGTATTGAAATCAAACTCGATTGTCTTCATCTCTTGCTCAGATGGCTACTTCATGTGATGGTGACGCGCTGATATGTCATTGTTGAGAACCGTTGAGAACCCAATCGAAAGGAACATTGCATCGGTACGTGAAGTACAACTAGATTTATTTCTGAACGGAGATACAGTCGCGTTTTAACTAAGTACGTACTGACGGACCCCAAACTCTGCATACCACTTCTGATTGAACCCTTGATTAAACTTTCGTGCCCGCCCAAAAAGCCACCTACTCCCAGCTATATGGTATTTACTACCAAAACAGGTTGAACAGAAGAAGCGAGAGAAAGAAAAGGAAGAAAAGAAGAGGAGAGAAGAAAAGAGAAAATAAGAATAGTAAGATGAGAAAAAGGAAACCAACCATCCATAATACTGAGCTTTTCCAGCAAAAGAAAGTAGAAGCGATAAAAGGGGTAAGCAGTCGGTCTATACTACTAACGCTTGAAGCATGGGGGAAGCGTCTGAAACAGTATTACATGCTTTTTGGAAAGAAAAGATACGAGGACATTATTGAAGAACTCAGCCGTGAAGCATACCTTAGGCTCAACCCATTAAGCAGTCTCGATGGAGCTCCCATGACTCTTCTCATACGAATCAAAGTTGACCAACCTCGGCCCCGAAATGATCCTCTTACGCCTCTTTGGCACACCAGCCGTACGATCAGCGGGCGGCTCAAACAAGTGCGAGCCACACAGCGCAGGATGAAAGAAATTCAACACCACGACAGAGACGACAATCATGACGCCCTCGAACGCGATAAAAAGATCCTGGCGTGCCATAAGGGGTCCCGTCCAGCCGCCGCTGAGCTCGATGACGCGGAAGACGCACCGGATAAAGATACAAACGGTGGACACCACCAGCGCGCCCAGGAATCCCTTGAAACGCGAGGAGCGGCGGAGGCGGACCATGTCCGGGTGGTTGTCAAGGGCGCAGGAGAGGTTGGGGAGGTGGGCGTGGCGGGAGGCGCGGTAGGTGCGCAGGGCGAAGTCCGCGGCGACGAGCATGAAGGCGAACATGGTAAAGACTTGGAAGGCGAGGCCTGCGATCATGACGGCGTCGCCTTTTGCGGTGGGGAGGTCGCGTTTGGAGGCGACGGAGGCGAGGGCGCCGCCTACGGCTTGGAGGGCGAGGGAGATTAGGTCGCAGGGGATGAACTGGGTGGGTTGTTAGCTTTAGGGGTCTTCTTCTTGTGGGAATCTTGTTTGAGAACCTGAGGGTTACTTACGATCCTGGTGTACCATTTCGGCGGGATCCTCGAGTTCTTGGGCCCAAACGCCGTGACAATCTGCCGCAGACAGAGATAGATGCCCGCAGCGAGAAACGCGGGACCAACAGTCAAACAGCAGACCTGCACCAAGAATGGATTCTCGTTCCACTGGTTCTTCCAGCTAAAGATGCGTCCCGAGTACCCTATCATTTCAGACACGATCCCCAGCATCATGGCGACGCTAAACAGGTTCGCCCGGCGCGTGCGGTACATGGTGTACGCGAATCCCCCGAAAGACAGGAAAAACAGGACGAGAAAAGTGACATTTGCGGCGAGGGAGACGCGGTACGAGTAGAAGGAGATTACACCCTCTTTGCAGTACTCGAGGTCAGGCTTGAGGAAGCAAAAGGCGGGCAGCCAGCGGGCAAAGTCGATTTTGAGCTGGTTGATGACGGGTGGGGGAGGGGGGTTTTCTATGCTGTAGCCTGTGGAGGCGAAGATGTAGTTTAGGATGCGGTCTGGATCGATGCTTGAGGGGTCTGAGTGGGCTTCTTGGACGATTTTCATCATTTTGTCGTAGTCCATCTTTGCTGGGTGTTGGCCGCGATGCTCGCGATGTGTGACGAGGGGGAGATGGATGAGGATGGGGAAGGGGGTGATGGGCCAGAGGGGCTTCAATGTCCTTTCAATGGCAGGATAAGACAAGGGGAATGATGGCAAAACTCTCAGAGAGAGAAAACATATCGAGAAAGAAGAGATCAAGAGTCGGGAGGTATGATATACTTCCAACCCCTCAGGGTAGACAGGAGCAATATTCTTCGTGGGAGGACAGAAATCATGATCGAGCTCGTCTTGGGAGCAATTGACTTCGTAATTAGGTCAAGGGCAACGATACACTTGATACGGGGCAAACGCTGCCCGTTCCATGTCCTCATCACTTCTACCCGGCCCATCTCCCGACACACGAGGAACCCTTTCGGTGTCATCTCGTTCGACTTTGGCAACGTTTGGGGTCTAGACACTTACACATGGCGCGGCTCGCCATGCAGGGGAAAGAATTAAATCGGTGGGCAGGAAAAGAAGGCCTAGCAAGCAAAACGACTGCATATTGGATAATTCGCTCATCCTAGTGCTTTAGGTAGCTCCGTCATCTATGACAGTTCGTGGCGTCCCGAATAATTGAATCCGTATTGATTCGGGCTGAAAACAGTTGACGGGGATATACCCACTCGCTCTTCAAGTGGAGGATGTCTAGATAGTCTCTCATCCAGAATGAGACTCATTGCTTGACGTAGGACTGTGTCATCGTAGAAGTGCTGTAGCATATGCTGTCCTTGCCGCCATAGTTACTTCCGTGATCAACAACATGGGTAAATCGAAGGCAATCATGCTTAATTTTCAAATCCCTTCCGAGTAACCAGGGGCGGTGAGGTTACAAGGGTGTTCGTCCAAACTCTCCTAGTCTCGAGCTTAATTCAATCTTCTACACAGCTCTCCACAATCCACAAGGTAACTGATCCTATCGGCCCGCAATCCAGATATACTTTTGCTAGGTGAGGGGGAGCTCCCGATCGATGAGCACGTGCAGAGGTTGCATCAAACGATGAGCAGGAGAGCCTTGACACTTTATTCAATTATTGAAATGCATGTCTTGACCTGAGCGGGCCGCCAAGATGTATCTAGATCAACAATCAAACTTGTTGGGTACAGACGTGGAGTAAGGCCCTCAGAAATGATAGAGGCAAGTGACGCACCGGGAATAGTTCGCCGTCTGGTCCAACCAGGACGAGTACAGGGAATATATTACACTACGAAAAATGTGCTGTTTTGCCGCCTTGATCCAATCCATATCCTACACCTCCCAGGTCCTCGACATTCAAGGCCTACGGCGCAACAGTGACGCGCTTCTTCTTTTTCCCACCGGTCTTGCTCTCGTCAGGGAGCCCCTTGGGATCAATGGGATTCTTTGTGATCACGCCGCCTACGGCCTTACTCGTCCCGAGACTGATACCCCGTCCCTCGCGCATACTATCCAGGCTCAGGTGGCTGCCTCCACTTCCGCGCCGAACGCCGATGCCCTTGAGCTTAGATGTTGGAGACTCTCGATGACTCAACGAGCTGTCCGGTCGCTCTTCGCCTTCGGCCGCGCGGCTCGATGGCCTATCTGGAGAGGGCGACGGCGACTCGTCGTCGGCTGCAACTTGGGAGTATGGAGTACGCAGACGGGTGGTGTTATACGGGGAGGGGATCCCCGAAGGACGGTCACGGTTCTTGTTTTGGGAAGCGGGTCTCTCCACAGTCTCGGCACGGTTGCCATTTCGGCCCTCATCCACAGCATTCGAAGCTTCGCTGGCAGAGACATCACCAGAGACATCACTATCTCTGTAAGCGTGTCTCTTGTATGCATTCCCAGAGCCCATGAGACTCTCTTGCCTCGCCAGCTGGTAGCGGTCGTATTCCTCCTTGGTATGTTGAGCATCGGTGAAACTGTCCAGAGCATCGAAGACGTGAGGGAACACCTGGACGTTATTGTCTTTACCCCATAGGAAGTCAAGGTGCTCATAATGAGGGATCTCGGTGGCTATTGTCTGGGTTGGGAGCTCCTTGAGCATCACTTTGATGTCGACCAACGAATCGCTACCGCCGTAAACAAGAACGATGGGCGTCTTGATATTTCGTGTAGGGTATTTGGCGACCTTGGTATACTTGCTAGAAGAGCTTATCGACATGGGTGGGTGGACGTCGTCATCGTACATTTGGAACGACTTGTTCCGAATGATCTGGAACCAGTGAACCACACTCTTTGTGCTGGTGAAGGAGTACAGATGAGGGTATGCCGCAAGCTTTTGGCTGAGTGTGATGTTCTTCGTCTGCCAATTGAACAAAAAGGAAAGACCCATATCAATGACTCTAACAAAGATGGGCGGGTAAAGAATGGACTGCCACATGGTGGCGGAGCTGAGGATGGATCGGCGGCCGAAGAGGAGGAACAGAACCTGAGGTGAGGCTTTAATCAGAGCGTCGACGATTCCGTTGGAAAGTCCTGCTGGCGACATGGCCGGCGCCAATGCAATGAAGACATTGACCTGCTGGTTTAGCTTGGGATGGATAGCAAGGGTGGCAAAGGCTTGCGCAGTTCCCTGGGAGAAGCCAATGTACGACAAGCTCTCCTGCGAAGTTGTCTCCAGGATGTAAGAGATGCTGTCCGGGATGTCGTGGAAGGCGAACTCGTCGATGGAGAAGTTCCAGAAATCAGTCGACTTGGGCGAGTGATGCACCGACTTCTTGGAGTACTTGTTGCCGCGGTTGTTGCCAAGCTACACGGATAGTCAGCAAATGCACCCTCAAGTTATCGCAAGGCGAAACACCAACCCAGACGTCATAGCCCTTCTCGACGAGCACAAAAGGAAGACATCGCTGCTCATCGGTCAAGCAGACCCACACCTCGGAGTTCATGAGCAGCCCATGGTGAAGGTACAAGACCTTCTTCTTCAAACTTCCCGGTCCGCTGTTGATCTTTTGTTCCTCCTCGCCCTTCTTCCATGCCAGGCGGTGCAGACC